TGTTTTTTGCATATTTTGGATATTGAATGTTATCAGATTACATCTACATTTTAGTCATTTAGCAGACGCTCTTATCCAGAGCGACTTACAGTTAGTGAATACATTTTTTTTTTTTTTTTATACTGGCCCCCCGTGGGAATCGAACCCACAACCCTGGCGTTGCAAACGCCATGCTCTATCAACTGAGCTACATCCCTGCCGGCCATTCCCTCCCCTGGACGAATTGTGCGCCGCCCATGAGTCTCCCGGTCGCGGCCAGCTGCGACAGAGCCTGGATTCGAACCAGGATCTCTAGTGGCACAGTTAGCACTGCGATGCAGTGCCTTAGACCACTGCGCCACTCAGGAGTACAGATCAGATCTTCAACCAAAACCTAATATTAGATAAAGGGAACCTAAGTGAACAAAAAAACACAACAATTACATACTTATTTCATTTATTTCATTAACAAAGTTATGCAACACCCAATGCCCCCTACACTCAATAACTGGTTGTGCCACCTTTAGCAGCAATTACTTCAACCAAACACTTCCTGTAGTTGTTGATCAGTCTCTCACGTTGCTGTGGAGGAATTTTGGCCCATTCTTCCATGCAGAACTGCTTAACTCAGCGACATTTGTGGGTTTTCAAGCATGAACTGCTCGTTTCAAGTCCTGCCACAACATCTCGATTGGGTTCATGTCCATTCTAGTATTCTAATTCCTAATTCTATGAGTATGACCTGCAGAGCCAGAAGGATGGGCTGATGTCTGGCCCCCTAGCAACAGCCCCTAGCGACCAACCAGTGGCCATTGTCATAGATGTGAAGGGCCAGTTTATGACCCCCTAGCCTGCTAGGCTCCTGCCGGGGGAGGGACGTCTACTGAAGAGTCAGAAAGTTTGTGTCTCTGAAAGAGGGCTGTAGACATGTGCAAGTGCAATGGTCAGGTGTGAGTGTAAGGGTATTTTCTTTAGTGCTGCCACTTCCCTGCATGTAGAGAGCATGTCTTAGGCTGGATACAGTGGTTGTCTGGATCGTTAGTCCCCATTGACTGGTGTTCACCCGTGTTCCCATTATCAAACAGTTGGGAGAAAAAGCTGCTTTTAAGTGTTGACAGATAAAAGGCTGTAGATCTTCCGAGTGACAACAGAGTGACAAGAGTATTCATACGTGTACTGATAATTAGAAGTACAAAACTAGGGTATTTGGTGCAGTGTGTGGGATGGTGTTAGAGTCACCGGCAGGGCATTTGTAACATGCAGTGGCTCATGAGATTTAAAGGGCTACTGCACTTCCTGATTTGGTCTCGTTTTAGATTTGGTTCATTAAGAAATGCTTGCGGCCATGGCTAAATTCATACGTGAGTTGGTTTCGGGGTGTGGTTTGATGTGGGTGTCTCGTGTGTGTTCGCAGGTGGGAAGAGTTAGCCAAATGATTTCACCAATTAGCTTCAGCTGGCTCCTGTGCACCCGTGGCAAAGTTGGTTTGACTTTGGATAGCCTATCTCTGGGGATAGTTAGGGACCGTTAATAAATTACACAATGTAAATCTGACAATATTTTAATGTTGCACAACTTTTTGTTGTCTCATTAAATGCTTTCAATATTTCAGTATTGTTCACACCGTCTTAAGCCTCATCCCCACCCATCTCTTTAAGAATTAAATGAAATTTTGGCGCTAGCAGACTTGATATCAGCCCCACAGACCTCCTGAAAGCAAAAAATACAAGAACATTTTCAATAAATATGCATGTGTTTGTCCGATTTGGACACAGATTATACCAAACGAACGGGCTGCTCAATTCGCATCGGTTGGTGTAGGCCTATTGTTTGTCCATGTCCGACAGAGGGGGCCAACACTACAAGTGAAATTAATGTAAGTAATGTAAGTACCACAAACATTTTGAGATTTTTGGGGGAGAATCCATGTACTTTCTTGCACCATCTGTTTGAAACATTATATGGAAAGGATTCAAAGGGTGAAAAGAAAAGTTAATTTACATTTAAAATGTGAATACATTTTTTATTTGATACTCAATATTATTTTTTAGAAAAAACATATTTCTATGATGTATTTGAGGCTGTGCCAATTGAGTACGTCTCACAGAAATATGGAGCAGTCCACTGTATTCTACAGCTCTCCAGCTTTCTGTGGATATAAAGGTTTACTAGTCTTCATGGCCCTCTTTATATTGACTTTTATCCAGCATAGCAAATACAGTATAGGCGAAAAATCTCTCCAAGGTGGTCAGCTGAATTAAAAAGAGAGGGACAACAATGTTACAGGCGAAAACCCAGAACAGGCTATGAGACTTCTCGAAAACCTGCTGAGTCATTTCGGTAACACTTGCACATATAATGCATCATGATGTGGTTATTATGCACTGTAAGACTTGTCTTAAGCATGTTTTACCCCTTATAAAGTCTTATTATAATTTCATAATTATCCTCACAAAATAACACTTATTTTGAGTCAATTTAAAATGTCCTACATAGAGACAACTTATTATAAACCTTAGGGTATTATAAGACATTATAACTCCTCCTACATGTTTGTAACAAATAATAAAGCATTACTATAGGATTTAGGTAAAGTATTACCATCATTTCAAGCAGCTAAATTAATGTATTCACAGATTTCAAAGGAGGACTGTTGAAAAGACTTCAATTAGCGCTGTATCCCAAACATGTCTTTAACCCAAATCCCTGATCTGTTAGTCCAACCCCTTTTCCATTGCCCATAGCAGCAAAGGACATGGGCACGTACCCTCCTGCTTCCTCCATCCAGAAGCTTTAGTCTCTCATGTAACTTTATCAGCAGGCTTCTATGGTCTGATTGAGGCACCATCCCACCCCTGACACCAGTGTAGCAAAGAGGCAATCTGCGACTGCTACATCCGTTTTTTGAATTTTAAATGAATGATACATACCCATTGATTATTGAAGAATATTACTTATAAATGCCTCATGACCTTAGTTAACTGTCGTACCTCATCAGAACCCAAAATATAAGCTTGTTTAACTCCATTGTTTGTAAATAATGCAATTGTAAACAAACACAGTATAGCCTCAAAACATGGTTGACACTATAATGTTGATATCCTGGATGGTCTGTCCTTGCATCCATAGCTCTGTCTATGATTTTGAGAGTGGTTACATTTCTCCAGGTCCATCCCTCAGCTTTTTCCCAAAAAGTGCCACTTTGTTATTATTTGAACTGCAGATTGATTGTCCCTTTAAGGTGGTCAAAAGGGGATTATGCAATTCCTTGCTTATTAACAAATATATTACCCAAAAAGACTATCACATACAAGTGAACATTTACCGAGCATTATTTACCTTAAATTGTATTATTATTATTATTATTATTATTTTAAAGGGTGCAATCTCCCCCCCAAAAATGTTTTGCATAATAATATTTTCACGGAAAGCACAAAACACCAGGAAGAGATGGGCCATATCACCCTGTTCAGTGAACAGTAGGCTATTTGGAGAGAAAAAGGAAGTGTAGCCTAATTTTGTTAAGACTCCCTCGAACAGTAATAACACTGGTATAAACTAATGGAGGGCACGTGTCTCAAAGTTACAGTAAAAAAATGACTATATCGACTCGCGATATAATAAAACACGCTTGGATAGTCTACTTCAGCCGTATCTCTGTCATGTAGGCTAAAAGCGGTACATGATCCATTATTCATCCGTTCTGGCACTCTGCTGAAGAGCTCTCCTGTGCGTAATCCCCGGATGAAGCTGTCATGGCTGCCATTCGCTGAGCTGTCAAACCTACAAAAGAAATGAAAAAACCAACCGAAGTCTCGAATTATACATCGACGTTGTCCAATTGTATCGGAGCTGTACTCTGCGGTAAATATATTTCGGTTCAGATACATTGATGATATTAACTTTTTGTCATGCATTTTTTCTTTCCACTTTCTCACATGAGCTGTTTATGTATATTTCATTCAAATCAATAAACTGCCATGTCAGCCAGCGGTTCAAAAGCTCATACTTCACAGTAAATGTTTTACAAGGCAGTGAGGCAAAGGTGATGATGAGTGATGGTCAAAGCAAAATATGAATCGCTTTTAAACAATACATTCACGCGTTTGTTTGTTACATGTTAATGAAGCTTCTCAGTCAGTTTGTTTTGTTCAAGCCGAACAGCACAACATAAATGGCTGACAGCTTTGATCTAATGCAAAGCTAACAGTAACATTCTGTAATAACCTTTCTTTAGCGGCAAGCAACCAATTTAGCGTTGAATATTTTCTTCTACTGAGACCCATTGGGAACAGGTGGGCTTGTTTACCTATTTCAAATGCAAGTTTGGTCAGATTTGGTCAATTGTAGCAAGTCCTTTGGTCAGTCACATTGAGAAACTTGCATGGCACACCATTTGAGTAAACGATAGCCTAATTGAGTTATACATTTCCCCTATAGTAAATAGTCTCAAATGTAATTAGGCTACATTGAATCTGCAACAGGTGGATCAGGATGACCCATGATGTGGGTTGTGAGATCATGCACTACACTGGCAATTAGTCACGCAGGTAGGCTACAGAGTAGTTTTGAATTGAGAATATTGCTAGTTACTAGCCTCATAGTGAAGACTAAGGTTTTGCATTTTGCATTTATTGACTGTGGTAAGAACAAAGGCAAACATAACACAATTCTAGTTGACATAATTGATTACAGATCAGGATAATTTGATGACCATTTCAAACATATATCCTAATATATTATTTTCTCAGGTCCGGTCTCTGTGTGGGCTGTACACTGTAGATTCTGAGTGAACATTTGCATATGATCTTTGATGGTTGCCAGTTTACAGACCAGGATATTGTTGAGTTTGGTGAAAATGTTTTGTGCTATTTAGGCATCTTCTTTCAAAAATATGAAGCCAAGTTAAATCAATATTGTTGACTGTTTATGTGAAAATGTTTTTGTCTATAATGAATTGCTGGCTTGCAAATCAATTGTCGATTGTTTCTTTTAAATCTGTTACAGAGGCCTGAATTGACATGGATCCAGCGCATGCTGAATTAGATGTCCCTGCTGGAGGTAATAGTAAAGTTGTCGATGATGAGGACAAAAATTGGCACAAACGACTCCGTCTCAGGAAAGCTGCCGATCAGCCCCCAACTATGCAAAGTGAAGATAAGCATTGGCCAAAGAAGATAGAGGACAAGGAGAAAAGCACAGAGCAGAGGTATTTGAAGAAGACACCCCTTAAAGCACAAAAGAGTCAACATGTGACAAAGGTTTATGGAAATATACTCAGGTTTAGATGTTTTGAATGCAAAGGCAGCACAGAATTCAGCCCTAATGACTTACTGAGGCACTTTCAGGAAACTCACCCAGGAAGCCAACCAATCTTTCCTTGTGACATTTGCAGTTTTATTACACAGGAATTCTCCCGCCTTCAAGTTCACCAATTAGGCCACAGAGACACTTTTGTCAGCTGCAACATATGCAATGACAATGTCCAGCGCACTCTCTTGCAGCTCACCACACATTTAAACATGCACCACAGCTTGAATGGCCACTACTCTTGCGAGAAGTGCAAGTTCTCCACAAGAGATGTAGGAGCATTTTTGGAGCACATGTATCTACATAACATGATGCCGCAAGCAGGTGGCATGGCTGATAATTCAAATCCTGCTGACCCGGATTTGCAGAGACATCTCATGGCCAAAACAGCACAATTCCCCTTCAGTTGTCAGTTCTGTGACTATAAAGCGCTTCGAAAAGATATCATCAGAAAGCACATGGCCACCATCCATAGTAAAGAGACTAGCCAAAAAAACAAGCTGAAAATGAAAGAGTTTGGTCCTAAAACAGTAGATAACTCATCCCCAAGACTGAAGCACACAGTGACAAGGAGTACAGTGAGGGAAAATAACTGGATGTCACAAGGCTGTCTTTCTCTGTCGGGGGAAGGATTCCTGGATAAATATTGCAGATTGTCAAATCCAGAGAGGGCTTTGGAGGAGACCCAGCAATTTTTAGAGAAGTCTGTTGCTGCTGAAGCTCTTAAGACTGTACTTTCAAATGTACCCAAAGCCATGACTTCCTTTTCAAACTCTGACAACTGCATGATATCCAACCCTGGATTCCCAAACACAGGCAAGGACCTCACTGTCCTCATGCTCAAAAACAAGATTTCAGTTCCTCCGAATGGCACTACTGAAGCAATTGGTTTAAAAATGGTGGAAGGCAAAAAACATTTGGTTCTCAAGGTTACACCATCAACAAAGCAAGAGACCACTGACACAACAAAGACGTCATTGTGTGTCACTGAGCAGGAATCAGAGAAGATTGCTTCTCAAACTAGTGCTGGGGACTCTAATGCAAATGGATGCGAATCAAATTCAATTATCCCTCCAAAGACCAAGCCACCCAGTTGGCCAGGATCATTCTTGACACAAAATGATGTTGCCACTATTTCAACCCTAAATGAGTTAGTAAAATATGATCAAATTCAAGAAAATAGAGAGAACCAGGAAACAAGGGTTGGCCAAGTGCACAGAAACAATGCAGAACCCAAAGATGTGAATCACTGTGAAGATACGGCAGATGAAATCAAAATGTCAAAGTTGCCAAAGGAGAAAAGTAAAAAGGAGCAAAAATCCTTTCCTGAAGCTCTGCGCTCTTCCAATACTATGGGGGACAAAAAAAGGGTGCGAAAGAAAGTGGTCGACTCTAAAACTGTAGAGAAAGAATCATCACCAGCATTAAAGCTCCTCCTGAAGAAGAACCCAGTTAAGGAAATGCAGTGGATGTCACAAGGTCCTCTTCCCCTGTTAGGAGGAGGTTTGCTGAATGATTGCCACAGTCTAGAGCACCCACAGAAAACTTTGGAGAAGACACAGCAATTTCTTAAAAGAGCACTGTCAACTGAAAATGGCAAAAAGAAACAGTCCAAATGTCCCAAGACTGACCAGAAACACAACTCCAATGTGGTCACCAGGTCATCAAAGTCAGAGGGAGGCCTTATTCAAAACCCTGGACATTTCAGCCCCAGAGGTAACAACCTTAGTGCCCTCATGGTAAAAAACAAGATTTCAGTTCCTCCCAATTGCATTACAGAGGCCATTGGTTTAAGAATGGTGGATGGCAAAAAACATTTGGTTCTCAAGGTTACACCATCAGCAAAGCAAGAGACCTCTGACAAAACAGAGGCATCCTTGCATTCCATTGAGACTAAAGAAGACAACACCGCATCTAAAACTTGCACTATGAGCCAGAACAGTTTAGTCGTTGTCGATAAAAGCCAGCCAAATTTGAAAATCGCTCCAAGCACCCCAACAAACAGTAGCCTAGAATATCATTTCGAAAATGTGGAGCTTCCAAACACTGTCAGTTCTGAAAACACAGGAGGAATGAACAATGGCATGGATTCTCATGTCCTGGATGGCCAAGATTGTTCAAGGGTAGGCCTACCTCATGTATCTAATGGAGCCAAATCAGCTGGAAATCATTTGGGCCAGATGACGGAGGAGAAGTTGGAAGGAGAAGCTGTGAACTATAACCAGCCTGACCTGGAAGGGGTTGGACCTACAGAAGCTCAGGTCATCATGATGTCTCCCTCCCCCATACTCCATTTCCTTACTTCCCCACAAGGTAATCAAAACTATCTTACTGAAATTAATCAAACTTGATTTGTTAAATGTATTTCCAAATATTTACTTCTCATTACCTGTCATGCATGATTCTGTCCATGCCACTCTATGCTTTCCTGACAGACAATAAATGGAGTCAACATTCTTGTATCAGTTTACTTCTCTTTTTTACTGGACTAATTGTGCTTTGTTCTCTTTTTGAATATTTCAACAGGTATAAAAAACTTGTCAGAGAATCCGGTCAACACTCCAGACGTTTGTTTTCAGGACTTTCCCCCCAATACCACGCTAAGAGATGTAGGAGAACAGGAGGGCTTTGACAGGATATGCCTCTCACCACAGAAAAATGAACAGACAGTTAGAGGGAAGAGGCAGAGCGAGCTATCTACAGAAGACTCCCCTGAGCCCCTCTCAAAAGCCTTCCGGAAAGTTGTGGGAGAAGAAGAGGCCTCACCAGCAGCGGTGCATCACCGGGAGCCAGGCCCTAGAGATGTGGAGAGGACCCTGAAGCTATTGCCATTAAGTCTCACTCAACTCATTACACGTCCAAGGGGAGACCAGCCTGTTGTAGTGCTAAATCACCCAGACACAGACATTCACGAGGTCACAAATATCATGGAAACAGTCCACAGGTACAAAGGAGAGGTCCAAAAAGTAGTGCTGTCTCGAAAAACATTGAAGGCCCTTGCAGCCATGGGTTGTGATATGTTTAGGGCAAATGCCCCAGCGAATGAACGTGGGTGGCCTGAGAGCAGAGTGAAAGAGAGATTCATCTTGAAAATGAAGCTGAAAAAGATGAGCAGAAAGAAGTACAAAGTGGTGAATGCAATCTCACACAGCACTGAGCCGCCATTAAGATTTAGCTGCTGGTTTTGTGGCCGAGTCTTTAGTGATCAGGAGGTCTGGATTGGCCATGGCCAGCGCCATCTGATGGAATCTACTAGAGAGTGGGATAGGCTGGAAAGTGAAAAGTCATAAATGTCACCTACACTGGATACAAAGTTGAGAAAGGTGCTCCTGTACAAAAGCAATGGGGACAGAAAAGATGATAGATGGAAATGATCTTAATTTCACTGTCTTATTAGAGAAATAATGTTGATAATAATGACTTAATAAGTGTCCAAAACCAATATAACTTAATGTGAGTTCTTCCAAAATACAGGCCTCTAATAATAGGGCTCTAGTCATTTGTGCATTTTCCGTTGCTCAACTCGAAGTATTTAATTTGAAACCCACTTATTTTTCAGTGCTATCATCATTTTAGATTGGATGCAATCTATTTGTTGTTTCAGGTATGTCTAGCCAAGATGCAATGCTATTTAAGTTGACCTAAGTGCACTGTCATAAGGAATCTTTCACAGAACACTGTAATAAGGACACAAATTAGCACACCCTCAGAAGCTCTAAACATGAAAATGTAATGTTATACGGGTATGCATAGTGTGTGTGGTAAGGGTATTCATTTGGGAGGGGATGGCAGATTTCCTTTGTTGCTAGGCTATACCAACATTGTTTAAAAAGCTATTTTATTTGACGTTTTATATCTGATTTGCATTGTACACTGTTTTCTTTTTTTGTGATTGGCCATAGAAAAGAGTGAATGTGTTTGTTTTGTTTGTATGCATATAGTACTTAAGAAAAATATTAATGGTTTCAAATATAGTATTACACCTGTGTGGGGCACATTTTGTTAAGTTAGTCTGCGATAGTAGCAGGAGTAGTCTAAAGAATATACCTTTTTATAATGTTTTATAATATTGTGTAGGATGGTTGACTGATGGCATTTGTGCATATAACAATGCTGGTTTTACATGCAACAAATATTGTTTTTCTGAAAGAAATTCCTATTGTGACTTGAAATGATAATCCGTTTTTTAATTGCACTGTGAACGGACAGTGAATATTTATTTCCATTACTTCACTTTATGAATCTTATCACAGTCTTGATACATGTTATTGCATGTATCCTTATGTTCTGATGATATCACAGTATCCATGGCAAGGGCTCCTTTTACAGTAGTTAGTCAGCCCAGGACCATTGATCAAGGCCCAAATCACAAATACACGTAGCACATCTTTCTGAGCATACCCTTTCTTCTTGCACACTTCAGCATTAGTCACCCATCATTTATTTCTTCAGATCAACAGAAAATAACTGGTTTGTAGTAGTATTGAGAAGTCAGAGAAAGAAAACATTTGTTTTTCACCAAGTGCCTGCCTTTTTTGTTACACAATGAATATGTATTTATCTTGATACACCTGGTAGCATTATGTGTTGAACAGATCAATAAATACGAATAGTTTGACAATATATGTGTGATTCTTGAACATGTGCAGGTGTAGGATCTTAGTTTTTCTCGATTGCTAAGACACTTTAAATTAAACTGGGGTCCACTTGATCTCCATCATAACCTAATGAGCACAATAGTATAATTTTTTTGCAAAACTGTAAGTTATTTCTCATTGCTTTCACACACAATGCAAATGCTAAGCACATTTTTGCAAAGCAGTAAACACAACTCTCTACAAAAGACCCTAAACTCAGTTGAGTAAATTATGACAAACAAAATTATACATTTGGTCATAGCTGATACAAATTACTCCCATGAATGTGAACCTGTGCAAAACTTCTTTGCAAAATTGTTCAATCAGCAATCAGTCCTTATTCATGCCTAAAATATGTCACCTGTTTGCAAGAATGGACCAAGTAAGAGGCTGAGGGCAAGGACAAATGAGAGGTAGAGGGGCCCATAGAGGAAGATAGTTCAGCTCTCAGTTAAAATGGATAAAGGTAAAATAAAGCCTTTCTGGATATTCATGGTCTTTGGTAAAAATCATTTTAGGAAAAAAGAATACAGCCCCTGCTGTGATAATGTTTACTTGCCTTTTATGGTGCATACTATAATTATAGTATCAACAAATGGCACAGACAGTATTTATTGGACCATTCTGTAACGATTGATTGATATAACTTTTCATTAGATGACAAGTTGTATGTTTTGATGGAAGTAGTTGATTTTGTGTCATGTATTTAATGTTTTGAGAGTTTTAATGCATTTTGCAAATGAAATGTGTAATTTTGGCCAACGTGTTTCAGTTTGGGGCTGCGTGTTAATTGTTTTGAAAAAGTGAATTATGTTTGAACAAATGTGCTCACGCAATTGAGAAACTGTCATTTGACCTGTATTGTCACAACAAAATAATCCTGCAGCAACAGGATTTAAGCTTTTAGTCCATAATGTTGCTTGATTGGTGGGTAGGCTATTAGCTGGCCAAAATTAGCAGCGTTACAGTTCTTGACACATTCAAACCAGTGCGCCTGGCACCTACTACCATACCCTGTTCAAAGGCACTTAAACATTTGTCTTTCCCATTCACCCTCTGAATGGCACACGTACACAATCAATGTCTCAATGGTTTAAAGGCTTAAAAATCCTTCTTTAACCTGTCTCCTACCCTTCATCTACACTGATTGACATGGATTTAACAGGTGACATCAATAAGGAATCATAGCTTTCACCTGGATTCACCTGGTCAGTCTATGTCATGGAATAAGTTCCTAATGTTTTGTACAGTCAGTGTATAACTGTGTGTTAGTGCGGGTTTTCATTGAATTTATGTAAATCAGTAAGGTTTTCTATCCTCATATACCATTCATACTTACTGTATTATATATACTACTACACAGAACAAAAATATAAACGAAACATGTTAAGTGTTGGTCCCAAGTTTCATGAGATTTCTTTCAAATTTTGGCCACAAATTTCTTTACATCCCTGTTACTGAGCATTTCTCCTTTGCCAAGATAATCCATCCACCTGACAGGTGTGGCATATCAAGAAGCTGATTAAACAGAATGATAATTACACAGGTGCACCTTGTGCTGGGGACAATAAAATGCCACCCTAAAATGTGCAGTCTTGTCACACAACACAATGCCACAGCTGCAATTGGCATGCTGATTGCAGGAATGTCCACCAGAGCTGTTGCCAGAGAATTTAATGTTAATTTCTCTACCATAAGCCGCCTCCAACAACGTCGTTTTAGACGTTGGGACCTCAACATCCGGCTTCTTCACCTGCAGGATTGTCTGAGACTAGCCACCCGGACAGCTGACGAAACTGTGTGTTTGCACAACCAAAGTATTTCTGCACAAACTGTCAGAAACCGTCTCAGGGAAGCTCATCTGCGAGCTCATCGTCCTCAACAGGGTCTTGACCTGACTGCAGTTCGGCGTCGTAACCGACTTCAGTGGGCAAAGGCTCACCTTCGATGGCCACTGGCACGCTGGAGAAGTGTGTTCTTCACAGATTAATCCCAGTTTCAACTGTACTGGGCAGATGGCAGACAGCGTGTATGGCGTCGTGTGGGCGAGAGGTTTGCCCCATGGTGGCTGTTAGGTTATGGTATGGGCAGGCATAAGCTACGGACAATGAACACGTTTGCTTTTAATTTTTTTTTTTTTTTTACTCTCTAACCCTAATTGGAGTAAACTAATGAACAACAACGCTTAGGCCTCTACTTCCAGCTTATACATACTATATACATTTTATGGAGACAGTCTATTTTACAATAGTTCTATTTTGTTTGTTTTACTTCCTCTACCTTCAACCTCTCCCATCTATTTCTGATGTCCATCCGGTTTGATTTCTATTTGCCATATCTTTCAAACTGTGATCTTTCACAAAGGTTCTTAACCTATAACCTATTTACATTTTACGTTTTACGGACACAGTATGTTTTACATTAGTTATCTTGTTGTTATTAGTTGTTATTATTCCCAACCTTCAGCTCCATTCATTTTGCAATCTATATGGCACGGCTGTCAATTTTTTGGTCCTTAAATGAAACTGGTATACTTTTTTATTCATCACAATTTAATGCAGGGCTGACAGACAAGTTCCTTACTTTTCCCCCCTTTCACTTTCCTCTTCCATTTTTGCGGTAATGCTACAATTAGTTGGTTGTAGTTTTGGGTAGAGCAGACATTTCCATATGTTTTTGTTAGCTGCATGTGCGACATAACTCCACCAGTCCTACCTATGATATCATTTACGAAGATTATACCTTTTTACATTTTTTTTTCAATATACAGTGAGCTCCATAATTCATTGGACAGTGACCATTGTTTTGTTATTTTGGTTCTGTACTCTAGCACTTTGAGTTTGAAAGGATACAATGACAATGAGTGTGAAGTGCAGACTGTCAGCTTTAATTTGAGGGTATTTTCATACATATCGGATGAACCGTTTAGAAATGACAGCACCTTTTGTACATGGTCCCCCCATTTTAAGGTACTACAAGTATTTGTTAAATTGGCTTCACAGATGTGTGTCGTTAGGCAGGTGTATTCATTTGTGTCGTTAGTGAATGCAGGAGAGCTGTTGATGAATAGTAATGATTCTAGACGTTGCTATTGCCTTTGGAGGTTGTTATTGGGGTGTGACAACATGAGGAAGACAGCAGTGTCGATGCAAATGAAGTTGGCCGTCATAAGGCTCAGAAATGAAAATCAATCATTCAGGAACATTGCAAAAACCCTGGCCATGCCCAAGTCAACAGTTTTGTTCATCATTAACAAGAAAAAAACAACCGGTGAACTAAATTATGTCAAAAGACCCGGTAGACAGAGGAAGACCACTGTAGTGGATGACCGGAGAATACTCTCTATGGTGAAGAAAAAACCCCTGATAACAGCCCAACAGATCAAAAACACTCTCCTGGATGCAGGTGTAGATGTGTCAAAGTCTACCATACGCAGAAGACTACACCAGCAGGACTACAGAGGGTACACTACAAGATGCAAACCACTGATAAGCCTGAAGAACAGAAAGGCAAGATTACAGTTTGCTAAAAAGCACCTAAAAGAACCCCAAGAGTTCTGGAAAAAAATATTGTGGACAGATGAGACAAAGATTAACATGTACTAGAGTGATGGAAAGACAAAAGTGTGGAGAAAAAAAAGGAATGCCCATGAT